GGTGATCATTGTGACTATCCATTCTACTATCACCTACCAACAGGTCTTCAATGGAACGACGGGGACATTTTTAATAGCATTTACTAAATACATCAACGCATCTTTATTGAGACGAAAATTTTGTATAAATTTATAAATTTGAAAACGTTTGTCACATAATTCGTACTTCTATTTTCATACCAGTGTTCACTTTGGGAGAGTATATTTGATTGATCTCTTAAAATTCTTTTTTTTTATTCGTTCATCATTTTTGTTTTTTAAAAAAACACTCGTACCACATAAAAATATTTTTTATTTACAATTTTTTGACGTTACCTTTTGTCATTCTTCGTTATTGTTTACTTTGTGGTGCCAGTGTTGTCCTATTTTCGATTTAATTTGCGAATGCGTTTACGGGAGCGATACAAAGTACCAAATTGTATTCTCAACGCATTTAGCTTTCGCATCGCGCTTGCTTTCGCAACGCAATACAGAGTAACCCCCCAGTTATTGCATCTGTTGGATGGAAGTTGAACAGCTGCAGGCGGAGAATTTGTGGGTGCACAACAGCTTGCCACAAAGTTTTTTTACCACCATCTAAGACATAGGTTGCATTGCACCTGGGCAAGATTGCGCGTAATCCGAGTATGAAATACTGAACAGAACGTGACCTCGGTGGAAGTGGGGCCCGAGTTCTGCTCGATACCAGCCATTATTAATATGATATTGAGCAAAACGGCTGACATGGTTTGCTCACCTGGAGGAAAACAGATGGTTTGAACAGCTGTCGCTGAGTTGAGAATCCTTGGCCGGGCGTTGCCCGGGTCGTTCCGGAGCGTAGATCCGATCGTCTTGGGAATGAATTTACTACCCTAAAGTAACCGTACCTTTAAATCCGTCCCTTGTAATTACCCAATGTATTTTTTTAAATCTGGAAACTTCACTTAAAATGTCTTACATTTGCTAGTGCACTTGCCACACATGTGCACATAAAATCTATTGTTTTGAAAGTTTTCGTGAAATGTCTCCCAGAAATACATCTTGGTCTATCAAACTAAAGCTCAAGTTAATATCTCAAGCAAAAAAGAAAGAAAAAAACAAATTAACCGGGGTCCACGGATAATTACCCTAGCGAGGTAATTAACCGTGCACTCTTAATTACCTTCCACGGATAATTACTCAAAAATCTTGAAATTTTCACTGAGGTAATTAAGCGGGGTTTACTGTACTAAAAAGGGAATAATATGAGTTTAGAGGCTCATCTCGGATGACATTTTTACCACAGGTAGGTCTCGTCTCCCTTGTCACGAAAATGTATGATTTTCATGGGAGAAGCCCAACATTCAGAAATATAGACCCTAGAAGTTCCGAAATTCCTTTGTTCATAAGTTCGTCATTTATAGACCGATAAAGGTAATATTGGTATGGTTGCAAAACGTGCACATTATATTTTCACATAAATTGGTTTTAATTAAAAATTATTCAAAATAGCCAGCCTTCGGCCAGTGATTTAAGACATTCACCTATGGACAGGCGGAAATCAATTTTTTAACTATTTTTTTTTTTTCAATAACCATTCTATCTATGACAAATGAAAAATTCGGCTACGCGATCGAACATTTTAAACATGAAATTATTACTAGCCGTCAATATGACCATCATCGGTCCATAAATGACGCTGTTATCCATATCTCGAGAAGTTCGGATTTCTCCCATGATCTCTAGTGTCAAAAATTTCGACTTTGTTTACGTTTTCATAATGAAAGTCAATTCACAATAATGCATTTTGACAGCAAACATGAGTGGCGCAGAAATACAGCTGGTCTCCCTGGGTGACCTTATTTATAGGAATACCAAATCAATGTCAAAGTGATGTCGACAAAGAAACGACGTCGACAACGACATACAGAATATGGGTGATTGTTTTGATGCAATTTGGTGCAACAACTACAACAGATTACAAATAAAAAAACATTTTTGATTTGCTCCTACTCCTTTATTTCTTCCTTCAAATCATGCATTTTTTGTAGCTGTAGCTGAGTTTTTCACTGTTAAGCGGTTCATCAGGCAAATTTGGGTTTTCCACAATTTTTAATATTTTTCTCTTGAGAGACAGATTCTCACCCAAAATGTCTGTATTTAACCACCAAAATAACTCGGCTTAAATATTCCTTATTAGCTTTATACATTCCGTGGCAATATTTGGCTGAGCCATAGAAAATTATTTATTTTATGAAAAATATTTTCACACTTTATGTTTTTGTAGTCAACTCCCTTTAAATTTATTAGCGAAAAATTTCGCAAAATTTTAAAAATTATGGAAAAACCAAATTTGCCTGATGAGCCGCTTAACACTGAAAAACTTAAATAAAAATTAGAAAGAACAAAAATAAAACTACAAAAAATATTTTTTTTCATAATTATCGTGTGTATGATTTGAAGGAAGAAAATCATAACATAACTGTCCACCTTAAGAATTTGGGGAGATAAATATCGAAATTAAAAAAAAGGCGCACAATTATGTAGTGAAATAATAAACTGTGAATTAATTAATTCAATCGCAGATTTCTTCCCATTATTCGTTGTGTTTTTGCCATCATAAAAAATGTTCTTTTATTTATTTGTATTCTATGGTAGTTGTTGCATCAAAACAATGAACAGCTGTTTTACATGCCATATTGTAGGTTGCCATATTTTTAAACTTTAATTTATTTTCTTCTAATTACAAAGCATTTATGTAGCGGATTATTAATATTTTACATTTGCATTGTTATAAAGATTGAATAACAATAAAAAGTTAACATTTTTAATAAAAAAAATCAATAAATAAAATATTGAAATATTACACAATTAAATTACAATGGGGCAACACACATTGCAACTTAAAATACAATATGGCAACACAAACGTAAAAAAACTTATTGATCGCGGGTACCCATATCATTCAGTTGACAGATCTAAAAATTTGACCCGAAAAATAGGTTTTTTAGAAATTTGATCGCACAAAATTCGCACCTTCGGATGAGTATTACTCTGAAGCTGTGCATACTACATACACAAAATACATATCAAATTACGCAGATTCGCGACTACAACAATCTTATAATCGATTTTTATATATTCCTGTTTGCGTATTAAAGCTAGAAGTAAAATTAAAAAAACACTCAAAATCGAGCTTCAAAATTTCAGCATCATTTAAAGGTAGATGCAGTTAAAATGTTGAAAAATGATACATAAGGGGCGTAGTCCCCATTTTGTTGGCTTCTAGTTTTATTTTGACACGAAGACCGTGCAATGAGTGGCTTAGTCTCAAATCGATAGAGAACATAAAAAAACTGGTTCGCCTCAACGTGTTTTTACACATTTTTTTTACATTAAATAAAGTTTAGAGGTCAATATCATGAGCAGTTTGCAACGACAGATCAATTAACCCAAAACTATTCACTTTTTTTCATATACTTAAGTAGTTCCCGAGTTATATAGGGGTGAACCTCCGCTTCAGCTATGTTAAAAAATTGGCAATATTGCCCATATATATATCGTTAGCTAAAATGCAAAAAGGCGTAACTAACAAAAGCATAATTGTGTAGGAGAAGCAAAAAACTGTTTTGAATGAAAACTATATACATGTCATGTGAAATGAAAAATTATGCCCGGCAGGCTGATATTGCATATGACGAATAATAGACTATAATTTTTTTTTTAAACAAATTTAGTTATTTAGTTTAATGGCAATCATAACAAATAAGTAAAAACGTGAATTTTTTGTTAGTTACGCCTTTTTGCATTTACCAAATAAACCCACTTGTAGTTACGTCTTTTTGTTTTTTGTTAATATAAGGTCCTTTTTTGACCGCAGACGTGTAAAACTTTGTCAACACATGCAGACGTGTAAAACTTTGTCAACACATGCAGACGTGTAAAACTTTGTCAACACATGTATTGACATTCACAATATTCATTCAAAAAGTCAATTTTTTGTTAGTTACGCGTTTTTGCCGACGATATATATATATATATATATATATACATATATATTCACCTTTCGTCATATCAAAAAGGTGATCCCATATTTACATATATTTGTTCTCAAGTTATTCATTATCTGAGGCTCCATTCCACGAAAAATATTTACTTGCATATCCAATTCCTTTCGAATATTCTTGATTGGGATAAATAGAATGAAAATGAAAAAAAGAAAGATTCCTTACGAAATTGTCATTCATGGTCCAAAATGGCAACACTGTTCAGGATTGAAAATTCAATTGTCTGGACACATTGTGTAAAGTGACTCTAGAAATTACAGCCGTAGATGTTCCTACAATTTAGTATTTATTTATTGTACGAATACAGCAAAAAAGACTACATAATTAAAAATTAGTTTTGCATAGGGTTATTACCAAATTTTATTCACGGGCTAACGTTTTCAACTCGACGAGAAATTCCATTCATTCTTTTAAAATAGTTGTATGTTGAAATGTGTTTTAATCGGTACAACGATAATTTTCAAAGTATATAAATTAAAAAAAAAACTATAGTAAACGCATTCAAATTGATAAAAAAATGTAATATAAAATCATTGGGTCACATACAAACAATTATAATATATGAAAAGGTGATAAATGGTGTTATAAGCTATTAACACATTTACAATGTACACTACAACATACATTATCCTGAAAAATCGATTGTGAGTTGTCGTTTATTGTTTATCTTTATTGTTTATTCCTTTAGTTTCAAATGGATAAATTTAAATTTAATTCTTTGAATTTTTAATGTACATACTATCATTATGTTATTCAAAAACACAAACTAGGTTACTGTTGTAATTAAGTTCGTATGTGATTTTGTGAGGTTAGTGTTGAATATTCAAATATGTGTATGTTGTATATGATTTCAAGATGCTTGCTGCTGAATAGTGTATACATCGTTATATTGGCTTTAGATCATTACGCTCAAATCTTAACATTTATCATAGTTAACAAACTTCCTAATTTTTGAAATTTGCGAGATAAATTATATTCCAAGGGGCAGATATTGAATTCAACATTAACTTATTCGTCCTGCATGTCCTCTGGCAATTCGTGCGGATTTAACATTCCTGGTATGTTGCGTTGCATCAACATTTTACTTTCCTGCGCTTCTCGTAGAGCAGCTTCCCGCTCTTCAAGATACAAGTCAGAGTCATCCTCTCCAGTAACTTCCTGTTATTTGAGACAACAAGATTTAATTTTATAAACTTGCCACTTGTAGCATACACTTACCCGTATTTGAATTAAGAAATCTCTCAAGTGTTCCTTAAATGCTTGTACATTTTCGTCTAAATTGAATAGACCCGTAACAAATACCTTAATTTGGTTGTCTGTCAAGTGACTGAATGCAGATTTCAGCAATGAAGCCACATATTCTTGTATGAAGATGGTATTGTCGGGTATTGGGCCGAGATTTACAGTTATCTTATTGTTCTCGACTAACGAAAACATATAAGCCAGAATAATCGCATGATTTCCAAGACCAGCTGTATGAGAGGTATCAGTAACAACCGAAAATATTTGCATCAAAATGTCTGTAAAATATGTCTGATAGAAACTCTGGGCTGCTGCAGGGTGTTGCTCAAGATTTTGCAGCATCTGTAACAACATGTGGTTTTAATATCAAAAATTAATATCTAAGTGAAAGCGAAATAAATTAAATTGAATTTAACAAATAAATAATACAGCAATAATATTCCAAAATTCCATAACAAAAAATACAAAACGGAAAAAGTTGTAAGGCCATTTGGAGATTGACATTGCGCAACATTAATAATATAGTATTACTCCATTCCTACCTTATATAGTATATTTAACCCGGTATCTGCTACATTCCGCATTGTGTGCTTAAATGCCCATACAACGGAGTCGAAGACCAGCTTAAATTGTGCTGGTGGTATGTTTAAGAAAGCCTTAAAACAATGGGCATTGACTGCTTGCAATAGCTCATAAAAACTGACACGATGTTGTGGGTGATCCTCAAAGTTTTTATTAATCATGTCCAAAGTACATTCAAAAACGGCATCAAAAATCTTCGGTACTTCATTTGTGATGTCATTTCGGAGTTTGTGGACTATGACGCTCATAGATGAAAGAACTTTTGGTTCCCTTGCTGACGGCACTTTGCATCGCTGAAAAATAAATATATATTAAGTTTTCACATTAAAACAGTGTTTTGCATATGAGTACCTGATAATCCAAAAGAACAGCATCCAGCAAAGGAGGGATAAAGTTATCCATTACTAGCTGATTGTCATTAGATCGTGAAACCCATTCTGATATAAGGTTCAGAGTTTCCTTTTTTACAACGTGCATCGCCTTTATTAGGGGTTGATTATTAACATTGACACCGTTCAATTCAATAGCTTGAATAATATTTTCGGATGTTATCTTATAAACATTCAGCATATCCAGATAAATACGGCCCAATTGAATAACGTACGCATGGCCTAAAGCCTTACATGCAGCCACATTCGTCTTCAATATACTTCCTAATTGCTTAACTGCTGTCATGTTCTTGAGAAAATCCACGTTCTTTGAAGCCCGAGAAATTATTTCATCCCACACTTGGTTGGGCAAAAACATGTATTTCTCTATTAATATATCTTGTTGTACTTGATCCACTTGAGCCGATATCATGTAGCCGACAGCTTCATAGAATGTGTGCACCTGGAATCAAATTAAATATGCTTGATACAGCAATTACTTACAAAATATGTTGCATTCAATAAATTACCTGCTGTGGTTGAAGATCACAAATAATGCTGCTCATAGTGCTTAATATTTCATCGATGAATGTGCATGCCTCGTTTGGTTGTATCGTCACAAAATATCTCCTACATTTTATAGCTATTTTTATAAAAGTATCGCATGCCATATCCTGAACACCGTCATGAGTTTCATGCATGAATTCGAACAGTTTATTGACAACAGTTTTTAAAAATTTCCAGTGTGCTCGCAAAAATCGAGGATATTGCCCAACAACATACATAATATTCGATGCAATAATAGCTTTATTGTCTTTACCCTTCTTTTGTTCGCACAAACCCAAGAGATCTTTTATGACTGTTACCAAAAATCGTTTTTCATCCTCTTCACAGAAAGCCCCTGTAATATACAAAAGTGTTACTTATTATGTTTTATATTCGTTCAAGTCTGACAAATATGCAGAATATTGCATATTTTGGTTTTGTTTAGGTAAATATTATTGTTATTATATAGTTTAGACAATGTTTCTACAATTTCTCAAGATTCGAAGGGACAATGGTTATAGTGTCGATATGTCATTGCTTGCTATAATTTTTATTTGTATAATACCACTGTATCATCTCATCATCAACATTGCACCTTTTTACTAGAATGTACATATTGCGGCTTAAACGAATGGGTTGCCATTCGAAAAAAAAAATCGTTGGCTTTTTCCAATTTTTTGAAGAATTGGTTTTATTGATTTGTTGACAAAGTACGTTTATATTGTACCGGATTTCGTTAACCCAGTGGGTTTCAATTTTCAATTCCATTGTAAATATGCACAAATACAATTAAAAATTTGAGTATACAAATTTTAAAGATTTAACTTTTTTTTTAATTTTGTTTTTGCAAAATGGTCAGGCTTAATCCCAGTTTGTTGTTTTTATAAAAAACAACTATTTATTAGTGGGGAATGTATGGCATTTTCCGCCGAGGGGTAAGGCAGGGAAGACTATAGTTTCGGATCTCGCCACTGATCCTCATCAGTTCCCTTAGTTTTTTGTTGGGATATTCTCCCCAGAAGCTATTAATAGCTTCTATACAAAAAACCTTTCAAACCCAAACGTCTCTTGTGACAATTCGAAGTTCTTACGTTACCAGCGATACGACCCCAATGAGAAGTTCGTTTCGTTGGCGCCTGACTTCGTGGTCAACAAGGCATTTACAGACAACTACAATACATTTCCCACTGCTATGTGTCGTCACTTTGTGACGAATGCACATAACATTAAGCCTGACTATTTTGCAAAAACAAAATACAAATGGTATCCCAAATAACCCGCCAACACTACTGGATTTTTTTTTTAAATTTTTTTTTTTTTTTTTGTAAAAACATGAATGAAAAACATAAACGAAACATGTAAATATATTTGGAAATTTTTATTTTGTTAAAAGAATTGTGTGGTGTGAATTTTCGAATAATTTTGTTTCCTAATTCGCGTCTTTGATTTTGATATTTTCGTTCATATAGAGGAACTTCGGTTAATGTGGACTCTGCGCCTAATGTGGACCACCCCCATACCTTTATTTTTTAAGCCGATTAAAAAAATCAAAGTCGGAGAAGTTTTCGCCACAACAATAACGTTTGACAATAAAAGTAGATGTAGGGTTGTGTTTTTGTAGGAATTCGCCCTCTGGATGACCTGATATTTGGACCTTGCTATAAATGTAAACATTTTTCAGTTAATTAAGAAAATTTTCTCATCCACTTTAGCCGTTTTCAATTGACACACAAGTTAATAAGATTCTTGATCCCTATAAAGGTGAGAAGGTGGGTATTTTAGTACGCAACGCATTGAATTTATACACAAATACAATCATGGATGAATATGACACATAAAAAACACGTACTTCAAAATATACAAAAAGAAAAATAATAAACCAAGGCATATATAAGGTGGGACAGTAAGCACAGCTGAGTATAAAGTTTGTCTATTCATATTTTGAAACTTATACATAGTCTCAATTTAGATTAGGCGAGTTTACTTGTGGCAAGTCTTTGTAGGAGAGAGAGGCAAGGGGTATAGAAATGAAAAAAAATTGCTCGTACCGGCAATTTTCTAGCAATTCGTTTTGTGTATTTCGTATTTGTTGACATTTTATATATATTTAAAGAGAAAAAACAACAAATAAAAAAAATTTTGGAAACCGAATTGCCTTGTATAAGAGAACGATAAAAATTGCCGCGAGTAAACTCGCCTAATATAAATCAGGACATACATACAAAATTATGTTAGACGTCAAAACGAAAATATTAATATTTTGTCAACATTCAATTCAATTTTAATTTATATTGTCTTTGTGAAGAACATTTGGAATATTTCAAGAGTTGAAAGAATTTTTTTCAAGCAAATTATCTTACAAATTATAAATCGTTTTGTGTTTTGGCTGTGTCTTTTACTTTATCTCAAGCACCGTTTCTGGGCCGACAAACATTACTATTAGTAAATCTCCAAGGTACTACAACGAGGGATTGAGTGCATTAAAAAACTCTGTGTTCAGGCGACAGATTAAAGACCCGATTTGTTGAAGGAATCCGCTGTGACACGTTCAATTTTAAATTAATAGTTAAATTAAAAACACGAATTATCGAGGTTGTACTCTTTAATGAATATACGGAGCACTATGGAACCGGGAATCTAATTTTTTGGCAAAAAGTCCGTTTCATGTAGAGCCGATAAAACGTTATATATTTGAAATCTGGGGACTTTGTAATTTACACTAGTAAAATTTTTGTGAATATAATTTAAATTTGAAAAATGTTATATAACATTGACATGCGTCAAAATATTAACATGAAATGATGGCAATTATACAGATAGAACTAGAGATTATAATAAAAGTGAAAATGGTAGGAAATTTAAAGGTAATAATAAAAAAATTTCGAATATAAAACTCAAAAATATAATTTTTTCACAAAATTTGAATTTAAGAACCTAGTGCCCAAGCAGTTAATGGTTATAGCATTTTGCGACCATCTGCGTCCGTTCATAAACATAAGAGTTATTGCCGATAATATACAAATAGTCGTTGAAAATTGCCTTTAAAAATGTAATAAAAAATTAAAATTGACTTTTACTAAATTAGAAATTAGAAGGTATTAGCCTCACCACCTTCAACCAATTAGCTGTAATTTGGTATTTTAAGTTCGCATCGTGGAACACATATTCTTACTAAAAATGATCAGTTTTGCTCCACTATTTGGGGCAGTCCCCATATAATGAATCCACATTGGCTCCGGAATCTTTGTACTAAAAACTATCAATATTGACATGGGTAGTTTGGGGATCACAATTGTAATTAGTGGCCATAGGTCTACAAAACGTGTTAGAATATAATTTGATTAAATCAACTTTTAAAAAAAGTTATCATTCATAAACTTGAGTAAACATTAACTTTTGTGAGGATTGTCATCGTCAGTAATACTTATATTTGTAGCAAGTTCGTTATAACCGAATTAAAACATATGAAAACAGAATGTTGGGACCGAATAATTAGTTCGTTATATTCGTAGTTCGCTACCAGTAGGCCTATTCTGTAACTTTTAACATTTCTTTTGTTTTTGTAAAAACAACAAAGTAAACAAAAGAAGTTGTTGTAAAATAAACAATATCGACATGGTACAATTATAAAATGTAACTGCAAATCTCAGCTGATTTGATTCCAAGGTAATACTAGTGTCAATATGAATTTGACTAATGTTTTTAAAAATCACCCAACAGGAAAATTTGGAACACATAAAATTTGAAATTGTTCTTTATTAAATGTGCTCCCATATTCAATTTACGCAATCTGCCTGTTGGGAAAGATTGAGGAAACAAATTTTTTTTCATGGAATAACTCGCAATTCATATGTGTTGCACATATATGTAAGTGGCAATGGCTTAATTATAAGAAAGATGTGGAAGCGATAGAAATATAATAGATAGATTTTCATTCATGTTTTTCAAATTTTATACTGAGAATTCAAAAATATTTCATTTTCAAAATAAATATCATTTGTTGATAATTTGTTTGTTTGTTTACATTTTTCTGTCAAATGACGTTGACACTAATATAACTTACAACAACAAATTTCCATGTGGATGTTGTATCGTTTGCTGTACAACAACATAATCAAAAGGTTACGAATCAATATCAAAATATTTTGTATAGGAAACATCAATAGTTTTGGTAATGATATCATGATATGGACCAACAATTTTCTAATTGCCATGGAAGTCACAATTATGAACCGAACTCCACAAAATTTTACATTTAGAAGGAACTAGTATTGTTAGGGGCTCGATTTTGAACAGGATGAGGATTAAGCTCCGCAGAAAATTGAAGTCCAGTGGCCCCGTATCATATTGTTTGCCCGTTCGATTATACCATTTTTGTTAACTATTTCATAAAATGTATTCAACAAAATCTTGTATTGTTTTCCATTTACTCTAATAGTTTTTTTTACTCTGGTAGTTTTTTTTACTCTGGTAGTTTTTTATTCTGCTAATCATTTAATTTTTTACCCGTTTTTCATTAAATTTTGTTTGTACTTTACATGCAGTATTTTCTTAATTATAATCCTAAGCTTTATTTTAAGTTATAATTTATTTTAATGTTAAGTTTGATGATAAATTTGCCTGTAGATGAGCTATTTCTCTTGTTCGTTAATGACCTCCAACATGTACTAGATTGGGTTAAGATCAAGGAATTTCCCAGGGCCCAGGGAGAAATTCAATTTATCTTGCTGGAATGTCCATTTAGCATAAAGCTGAATCAAGTCTTTTAATATACCACGCTACATAAAACTATCTATAATTCTACATATTTTATGAATTGGCTACCTTCTCCACGATTTGCCCTATCAATATGATTTAACGAAGAATACGCCTTATGCCATCAACATCCTTTTAGTTGGGTTTTGATTCGTCAGCATTCAGTACTCCATTTTAGGACACTCCAGTTGAGATGGACATTGACGAATTCATGTCTAGCTTTTTATTTTTTGAGAATTTTACTAGAGGATGCATTAGATTGTCCTTTAAATTAAGAACTGTTATGAATGAAAATGAGTTGGAAATTTTGCGAACAGTCTGCAAAAACCTGTTAATTATACTAGAAATTATACGCCGCAACAAAAGCTTTTTACAAAACCAGATATACATAAATACACAACCTATTTAAGAGCCTCGAAAAGTTTTTTGCTGCTACCATTTGCGGCAAACATTAAACCATGTGATTCTCTTTTCTTAGTCCTTACTACAGATTTTGCTTATTTCTCGCCCTGACAAAATCTCGAGTTGACAGTTGACTTGTGTCTTTAAGTGCCAAATCGCGCAAAGATATACTTAATAGTGAGAATGCATCAACATTGT